CCTCCCTTCCCTGCCTTCCAAGAGGAGCTGCCGATCACGGGGCTGGGCAGAGACAGGCAGCCCTGCCTGCATCTCACCGGCAGGCAGATGGATCCCTTTCCCCATTGCCGAGTTGCCTCCGGGCATATCTTTGGTGACGGCTCGGCGGTTTGAGCGCCAGCGGCGTGTTTTGTGTTGATTTAGTTGTGTTTCATTTGGCCTTTGTAGGCGATGGGGAGCCAAGAGCATTAATTTGGATGACGGATCATATAAACTCTGACTCCTTCGCTCCCATTCCAGGGACTTGATAAACGGTAATAGGAACTCTCTCTTCCCCGCGTAAGTGCTATTTTATCAAGAGCTGGCTGAGTTATAGCCGCCCTCTAATGTGGGGGCAATTAGGAACTGGCCACATTTCACAGGCTGGAGAGGCACGCAGGGGAGGGGACAGCTCCCACGGGGAGGGGAGGAAGATGGGGCTCTCCAAAGAGCCTTCCAGGGTGCACGTAGCCTTGGCTGACACAGTGCCTTGGCACCAGAGAGCATCTTCAGACAGGACATCCCAGAGCTGTTCGCCTCCACATGAGCAGACTTGAGTGGGGCTGGGCTGAGGGGGCAGAAGATCAGGGATTGCGGACGTGCCAGGGACTCTCCATCAGTGTGGAGAGTGTGCCTGGATTCCCCCATACTGTCAGGACAAAGGGATCACCTCTGGGATCCAGCATGAGGTGAGAAGAGGCAGCAGCCAAGGTCTGACCCTGCCAGGCTGCAGAGGTGTGAGTGCCTGCACACCTCTGTGTGCCCAGAATGGATTTCTTCTCTCACCAAAGGGGACAAGAATAATCTCCCAGCTTCTGAGTACATTGAGCATTAATAACGATAATGCAGTAAAGCCTCATTAAATTGGGCCTCTGATAATCTACTTGCCCTATTATTAGGCTTAGCAGGATTCAGGCATCTATTTTTATCAAAAATTGATGGTTACAGGCTGAGTTCATTTGCGATTGCTATTGTTTACTGCCCAGTTTCCAATTTCTGGTCAATGCGGACGTTACACAGGTGGATCTGGGGAAGAAGGGCAGTGCAAAATAAAGTGTTTATTGATTACAAGCAAATCCTACCAAACCTGCCTCTAATCCATCCAGAAAAGGCTGTCTCATCCGTCTGCTCACCAAAGCGTGAGGATGCACTTGGCATTGAGCTGTTGCAGATGAAGTCCCTCTTTTCCCCGGCATCCTCCATCATTAAGCTCTTCTTGGCCTCTGATCAGCCTTTTTATAGCTAGGATGAACCCAGCCTGGCATCCAGTATGCCCCAAACCAGGTTATTTTAGGAAGCTTTCCTGCCCCCAGCCCCTGTGCTACCTTTGTTTGGTCGTCCCACAGAGCCTGTTTTTATCTTCCTTTGCCTTAGACAGTCTCATGCGGTGTGGTTGTCCCAGGTGTTTGGAGAACATCAGCATGTTATTCCCTTGCTGTCTGAGAAGCTGATGCCATTATTTCTGGCCACTTCCCACAGCCTACAAGTGATTTATAGCTGGCAGCCATCCTTTTAAGTGCGGCTGAGCTTTCACATCATGTGGGGATGAGCCTGTTCCCAGTGTGCTGGCACACTGTGGTCCCTGGCAGTGGACTGGGGCTCTCCAGGTACCCCGTGCCTGGCTGCACACCACAGATTGTGTCATCACCAGTGAGCTGGTGCCCTCTTGATGTCTCCCATGCACCAGAGGGGTACTGACATTGTTGCCTCTTGGCTTCAACCTCAGTGAAGGATTTGGCAGGATCATCATCGATCCCCTAGCCCTGCCACGGTGGCCACTGCAGAGCTGTGGGCACAGGCAGGAGCTGCCCAGGAGTGATGCAGACGTGGCCAAGCCCTGGTGAGGGGCTGGGCCCTGTGACCAACTGCATGCTGAATGCCATCTCTCCTGGGTGAGGTGGGGTGGCACCAGGTCCAGGGAGGTCCGGGCTGGCAGTGAGCACCAGCAGAGTCACCAACGTGGACATCCATCCTCCCCACTGCACGTTAAACATCTGTGTAAAATAAGTGCTATCAAATCCAGGCAGTGACACTGAACGTTTTCTTTTTTGTTTGTTTGGGGATTTCAGCCCTCACCTCATGGCCAGGTCAGACTGACCTGAAGCCACATCCTGTGCTTGCAGCTGGCTCTGGCTTCCCTGCCCGTGCTCCCAGAGACTGCTCACCGACAGGGGCCACTGACCAAGCTGGTTTCTTTCTGTTTCCCTTGCAGAAAAGTCCGTGCATTTCTCATCCATCGCAGAGGCTCAGAAGCAGAGTGCAGAGTCAATGGCTGCCTCGTGCTGGCCCCGTGTCCTGTCCTACCCCCGGGATGTGATCAGAACCTCTCCCCAGGCGGAGCCCCACTTGTTCCAGTATAACCCACCAGGCAAGTAAAGTCCACTGGCTGTGGTGTGTACCCTCCTCTGCCTGACCTGGGTCTGAGCACAGAGGCTGTGCTTGCAGTCAGTGTCACAGGTTGTGCTCTTTAAAGGTCCAAGGGTGGTCAGATGGTCTCCCAGCTCTGGCTGGGACAGGTTTAGGACCGTGGTTTGTCACAGAGCAGTGTGGGTACAAAGTCACTGTGTGTCCCTCTCTGGCTGGAGGGCACACAAGGCCCAGCACATCCTCTGGCTGCAGAGGGGACAGGGCAGTAATTTAAACTATTCCAGTCCTTTCCAAAATGATTGTGTGACCTGGATTCCAGTGCAGGCTCACAGCGGGGCAGTTCACTGCATCCAGCCCCTGCTCTCCAACAGATGCAGTCACTCTGCCTGCCCTCAGTCTCACTAACGTTTGTGTTTTCCACACAGGACACCCCATCCCGCTAAACCTGCATGACAGCTCTCGCTCGGGGCTGCAGAGACTACCCAGCATCTCCAACCCTCCTCCCCTCATCTCCTCCACCAAGCACCCCTCTGTGCTGGAGAGACCTGTCGGATTCATTCCCCAGGTAGGGTACTGGGTGCAAGCAACAGAGATGCCTCACAGGGAGCAGCAGCTGCTCCTGACCTCTCCTCTCACCCCACAGGGAATGCCCATCCAGCTCCACACGCCCTACAGCTCCGAGCATGCCAAGGTCCCTGTTGGCTCCATCACCATGGGCCTGCCACTGACCATGGATCCCAAGAAACTGGGTAAGGAATTGGGAGGCAAGTGGTTCCTCACATGCTCTGAGAGCAGCAGGGAGCGAGCTTGGCAGCAGCATGGGGGAAAAGGAGGAGCACAGGACACAGCAAGGGAGCACAGAGAGAACTGCTAAGAGGATGAAAGGATTAGTCCATCAGGAGAGCAGAGACACAGGGAGCTAAATTTGTGCAGTACAGAAAAGCAGCAACTCGGTCAGGGACGCATCCCAGCCTATAAATACCCTCCAGCTAATACTGTGGGTGAAGGAAGGAAATATATTGTTGCTCCCCAGGCTGGTAGGATAAAGAGTAAATGGCCTGAAGTGAACAAAGAAAGTGTTTAGTCTGCAGATTTGGAAGCTTTTCTTAACAGCAGGAGGGGATGGGTGAGAGACAAAGTCTGAGGAGGAGGGATATGGGCTCTGTATCCCACTGTGTGTGGGTCCTGGTTGTAAACCGAGTCTGAGGAGGAGGGATATGGGCTCTCTATCGCACTGTGTGTGGGTCCTGGTTGTAAACCAGCACATGGTTTTGGGTGTCACCTCTGGCCCCAGTGCAGGCAGTGCCTTTTGCAGGGCAAAGGATCTGACTTTTCTTGGTGGCGGTTGTGCATTCACCACCATGGGAAAATCCATCCCAAAGAGCTGGGGATGGAGAAGGTGTTGACCTGGGACTGGCAGGGATGAAAGCCTTGAGCAGCCAAAGGCTGTGGCCCCATACCCTGCAGCTATGCTGATATGTGGTTAATGTTTTCCAGTGCCTTTTCCTGGAGTAAAGCAGGAACAACTTTCTCCTAGAAGCCAGGCCAGCCAGCCAGAAAGTCTGGTTCTGCAGCCGTCCCAGGAGGGCTCCATCCTGCGGGGTGAGGACGTGGGGTGGGAGGCACGTGCCCTGACTGCAGGAGGGGAGGGATCCTGGCACTGCCAAGCCTGGCAAACACCATGCTGGCTGCAGCTGCCTGGTGATCTTGGGTTTGATTTCTGGGGTTGTGCCCAGCCCTAAGGGTCTCCTCGCCCCACTTCTCCATCTCCCCAGATCATGGCCTTGGGCATTGATCCTGATGGAGGTTTTGTGTTCAAGGGGCACCTGAAAATCTGTTGCTTAAGACTAAGCAAGACCCATTTAAATTCCATTAACTGATGTTTTCAGACTTTTCACTGTTGCTGCTGCAGGTGAGCAGGGACCACATTTTGTTTAAATACAGCCCTCCCGGGTTTCCTTTCCCATTAGCCAGGCAGAAGAAAATAAATGCCAAGGTCTTGCTTTTTAGTGCAAATTCTGGCTTGTAAACACCCCCAGTAAGGCAGTCAGGAGCCTGAGTGCGATGGGCTGGCTCCAGCCCAGGACAGATCTTTGTGAATGAACTCAAGCCACCCCAAGCTGCATCTTGCCACAGATCTGCTCTGATCACATCAGGAGAGGCTGAGACAGGCTGTGCTTTCTCCCAGGCTCATAAATCTGCCAGGCCCCTCCATGATGGCAGCAGGGAGCTGATCGCCTCAAAATACCCATTTTTTTCTACCTCCCAGCCTTGTGTTCACAGGGCTGGGCCCCTCAGGGGACAGGGTGGAGAGAGCTCTGCAAGGCATGGGATTGAGCACTGACTTGAAGGGTGTCCCCTCTGGTACTGCAGCTTGCTAGAGACTGGGTCAAATCCTGCATTTAGTAGTCTCAGCCCCATGGGTTTTGTGCTGAACAGCAAATCCAGACCCCAGCTGACTGGCTTTGTGTCTTACAGGTACTTCCCTCAGCTCTGCCTCAGGAGGGAGCATCACCAAGGGAACACCCACATCCAGACCCCCTCCGGAGTCGCCCATCACCTACCGAGGGTCGATCACACACGTAGGTCCCTTGTCTCTGGTGGGTTTTGCTTCCTGAGTGCTTGCAGCTTGTGGTGCTGGACATGGGGACCAGGGGTTTGCAGAGTGCACTGAGTGCATGTCACAGGGCTGAGCAGTGAGTCTGTGATGTGCCACCCCATGGAGCCCCTCAGAGAGGTCTGTGGCCAGAGCCTTTGCAAACAGCCTCCACTCGGGATGGTATGAGCCGTGTCCTGTGAGCTGAGCCTGTAGAAGAGCAGAGCTAACAAGCAGTGACGCAGCCTTACAGCGCGTTTAAACCCTGCTTGGCTTTTTGTAGCTGTCAAGAACAGAGGCAAAAGCAGCTTTAAATGGCCCTGGGAAAATCACCGTGCCAGGACAAGAAAGTGGAGCAGAGCAGAGGAGATGGGTGGAGGGCCCAGGCCAGGTGGAGGAGGGAGGAGGCTGTGAGGGGCATGTAAGGTAGTGAGAACTCCTGCCAGGGCTGAGCGTGCTGCGCTGGGGGTCCTGCCCAAA